CTATGAGAAAAAAAGATGTAAAATGGAGTGTATGAACAATGCAGGCTTGGAGTACATGTCTGTTACAAAATGAGCAATGACTGAAGTAAATGCCCATGTGATGTGAATGTGAGTCTACAGGGATAATATGAGAAGGTGAGAAAAAGGAGAGCAGTGCCACTGCAGCATGCAGGGTGGCGTACAGACAAAACGCGTTAGCCTGAGTGCTAAACGTGTTAGGTGAATCCAGAGCGCAGCTGATCCATGTTCTGCAGAGTGTTACCCTGTTTAATGTCATCTGGGCTCCCTTTTCTGCTTATTTTTGCCATGCACATTAAGTATTCAACTGCTTTTCACTGATGCATGCAGTAACACAGGGCCTTGTGAGGAGCCCTCTTCTCTTTTCCTGCTAAGATGTATTAGATAACCTTATTGTCGTTGCACCCTAACGTTATGACACATTAAATATGTTTCTTGTGATATTCATTTAAAATTGTTAGTTAAGTCCTGTGCTTAGAATAGAGGCTAACAGAAAATAGCAAAGGATACAAGGGGGCTGTTCTGCTTTGGGGAAAACAAAAAAGCAAAAAAAGTAAAAATGGCACTGTGACATTTTCAATGACTTCCAGAGCAGAACTGCTCATTTTACAAATGTAAAGATGTTTCTTCTTACTCCACATTTGACCTGGCACAGGAATAAAGCTGACTTCTTTGTGGCTCATACAATCCACTGCTAAGGTTCTGCCATGATGTGTGATCCCCAATTATGTGAATGACATGAAAACAATAAATTCCAGGCTTTCTCCCACTTGGTTGTGCTGACTCTGCTTGGCTAATAAAAATAGCAAAAACTTATTTCACTGAAAGAAATAAGATTATTTGAATAAACTATCATCAGACTGTAAGAAGTTCATCTATGCTGAATAGTGCTTTTCCCTCCCCGTAGTTCCATGGACATAATGAGAGTTTTCTCATAGGAAGGTGCTACTGAGGATAAAACCAGAAGTGCTGAAGAATGCCCTTTTATGCAAACTGTCTCAAGTTTATGTTAGTCTTTCTCAATAGGCTGGAGAGCCCAGGAGAAGAAAAAAAAGTCCTAGATGACCCCATCATGCTTGGCCTGGCTGCGCCTGCTCCCCGAATCACAGGCAGCCTGGGGACAGGAAAACCTGGAGCTGAGCTGTTCTCATAAAGTACTGACATGCTTCAACCATGAAGGTTGCTTCAACCATGAAGTCACTGATAGGACTAGAGGAAATGGCCGGAAACTGAAACACCAAAAATTCCATAGGAACTTAAGGAAAAATTTCTTAACAGTGAGGGTGCCAGAGCCCTGGAACAGGCTGCCCAGAGAGGTTGTGGAGTCTCCTTCTCTGCAGATCTTCAAACCCGCTTGGACGCAGTCCTGTGCCACGTGCTCTGGGTGACCCTGCGTGTGCAGGGGGGTTGGACTAGATGATCTCTAGAGGTCCCTTCCAACCCTAAGCATTCTATGATTCTATGAACCATACACATCAGGAAAAGAGTGGAAAAAACAGGATGGGAGCAAACCTCCACTGAACTATCACAGAGAGAAGTCCTTTCACCAGATCCTCTCCCTTACAAATGTGTAAATTTCTTTGGGAATTTTGCATTTTTCTTTGCATTTGAAGAAACAAAACATTAGCACTTCTCTTGCACCACACCTCTTAATGTTGGAAATGTTCTCCCTTGGAGAGAAAATATCCTAAAATTCTGCACAATTGTTTCATAATCTCAAGACATAAATTCATATGAATCCTGGTATAGAACTTGTGCAGCATGAAAACTGACCATCTGGAATATATTTATCATTAAGTAGCTCTATATCTCTTGAAAAAAAAAAAAACTTTTTATCTCTGTGCCTATTAGCAAAACAGCCATATAGAAGAGCAAGACAGAAACAGAGAGCAAAGTCAAGGTAAGACAGGGAAAAATGATGCAGTTATGTAGCTGGTGTCCACATCTTTCAGCCAAAATGATAATTATCCATTAATAGCCTCATAAGTAGGAATATGTAAATAGCTGGAGAATGCATTATTCATGAGCCACCAGGCATTAATTATTGTAATGAAGTATCATTTGCTACATTCATATTACTAACCCTTGCAGTTAATGAATACATTAACTAATCACTGCAGAGTGGGTTCAATCAAAATTCTAACTGTCTGCGCTGTGGAAGCCTGGGAGAGTTTTATGGAATTTAGATTCAATATTGAACATATTTTACATGCTTATCAGTGTATTTTTAATAACACTAAATGTGAATTGTCACCTCCAGTGCAAGATGCTTGTCCGTGCACCCAGGAGGACGAAGCGGTACCAGCTGGAAGAGGCTGTGCAACCACACTGGTGCAGAGCAGTAGCTCCCTTAAAGCAGAACTTCAGTACATGTCTCTTGGTATCAGTATTCAGAATTGTGAGTCATACTTCCAAAAATCATGAGCTTGCTTGTTCGCTTTTTAAAATTTGTCTCATATCCTTCTAATTCTGAGCATACTGAGTTCACAGTTCTCTAAGCTGTTCTCAACACCCAATATTATATGATCCTGGGGTTCTTTCTGTTTTTAATTTCTACTGAGGTTCTCACAAAATCATTTGCCTTTAGGAGCTGGTTTTCTAAATAAAGAACAAATACAAAAATAATGCAATGAAATTACAGAAAGCAGCAACTCTAGAGATTTATGGAAGTCTTACTGTTGTACCTTCATTTTCAACCCGAGTGAAGGCCTTTGAACTCCTTAAGTCTTTAAAAAACCTCTTTGAGATCAGATGTATATACATTCACTTCCTACCATAGCTGTATACTTTTAAATGATCTGCAACTGCATTTCTCTTAAGAGATGTAGTCAACAAATGTATTTTAATTAATCTGACTTCTGTTTCTTCATTTTTTAAACCAGAAACACCAAGTCAATTCCTTCCTGGCATGTTGCAGACCTGTGCATGGGACAGTTGCAGCCTGTGGACTCGGGTAGCTCAGTGGAACCAGATGACCTGACAAAATGGTAACAGAGACCTCCTAGCCCTCAACAGCTTTGTAAGCATTGACAGTAAGGAAGGAAGAACAAACTGGGAAGAGTAAACCACAGCAAAAATCCCTGATTTTGAATCACAGATTTGGGGACTTGTTTATTTAGTTGACTATGTAAGTCACCAAAAACTACCTGAGATGGGTAATTAATGCTGATAGAGTAACACAATATTGCAGCTAAAATGGTTCCAAGTGACTGAATTGGAACCACTTGCAGCTTGTCTGGATCAGTGGGCCTGGCCCTGCACTGCAGAATAAATAAGGACGATACAGCATCAGTTTTGGAGTGGTGTAATGATAAAGCACAAGCATTCAGAGGTCATGGCATATGCAAAGCAAATGAATGTAGTCATTAGCAGAAAATGAGAAGCAGACATAGAGACAAAGGCAGAATGTTTATTTTGTGTATAAAGATAGGAAAGTTATGTACACATGCACAACGTCGTTGAGAATACAGATGTACAAAGAAGGGAACAGCATTTCTGGAGGCAGGAGATGCTTATAATGGCAAGGCATTAGAGGAGGGAAAGAACTCAGTTACTGCAAGAGAAACTAGTTTTTGTGGTGTGTATTCTGAAAAAGAAAGCCTGAACGGTGCACTGCCATGAATGTATTCTAGATTAATGACATATATACCTTCAAATCTCTATAAAACTTGTATTTCATATTGTCCATACATTCTTATATCAAGTTTCTAGAATTGAAAGGAAGTAATTTTGGAAATTCTATACACATATATTCTTTGGGTTTTGTTTTTTCATATAGCTACAGCATGCAAAACACTGTTATCACATGTATTGCTTCCTAGTTTTCTTCAACATTAATATCAGAATAAATTTTTTGTTTATTGTGGTATGTCAGTCATAGATATACTTCTGTTGTCTATCTATATTCTGTAAAATACTTAAAATGTTTAACTTAGCTGAGAGTTGAGCCAAAATTAGAAGGAAAAAAATTTGATTTTGAAAAGTTTTGAGTTGAACAGGTGTGGCTAAAAAGTATCAGCTTTTGCACTAGAATTTTCAAAATTTGTTATTTTTTGGCTTTTAGTTAGCATTCTAAGGACTACTACTGTGTTGATACCAGACTGATATGAATGTGGGATTGCCACTCATTCAGGTGGGTATCAGGTGGGTGTCCATAAACGTGTACTCAGGATGTTGCCAATTAATCCAAGCCATTATCTGATTAGCTAAAATTATCACAGGTAGTTTCACAAATGCAAGACCAAAATACCCTCCAAAATAGTATGTGATACAAGGATAGTGATAGTGGGAATAGTATGTGATAAAAGGATAGTGATATCTGTAACATTTCATGGTAAAATCAGCCTCCCTAAAGCCAATGGCTCTTTGCCACTCATTGCTGGTCTTGAATACTACCATCAGAATATCTTACTGTTCTCTTTAATATGTTTGTGCCTTCCCAGTTCCAATGGTGCATGCTGGCAGTGTTTATGTGTCAAAATGTTCTGGTGGAGATTAGATGAAATATATATTTTTTAAGATCTTCTAGCATTTGTTCCAAAATTAAGTGAAAGAACTAAAACAGATCCAAAGCGATAAATAGAATAAGTAAGGACCTAGTCCTGAACATTTTCCGTACAGTTTTCGTCGTGCACTTTGTTATATTATGTTAAAAGCAACATGCTGTTACCTAAAAAATTTGCTCCCATGGTTAAAGCCAGAGCTGAAGAATGATTATATAAAATTAAGTATTTCATGTATGTTCAAAAAATAAAAAATGATTTTTAACTCTGATATTTGCATTGCTTTTCTAAGCTCTTTGGTCAAGGCATCTTCTGTTGTTTCAATGGCTTTAAAATACAGCATTTTAAAGACTGCTAATAATCTTCCTGTTCACCCCACTCGACTGCTGGATCATCATCCATTCGTAGAATAAGGTAAGAGAGAAGCTGAAAGAGATTCTGCCACAACAGTAGAGAGACAAAAAAGGAGAGGTCGCTTACATCTATCTCACAGCGGTCTCCAGCATAGTTTACATCGCAGAGGCAGTGGAATCTGTTGAGTAGATTCTGGCAGAGGCCCCCATTCAGACATGGGTCGGAGCTGCATTCATCAATGTCCTTTTCACACCTAGGGAAAAGATTCCAAGGAGTGAGCATCTGAAACTGCAAATAAAATGCATAAAACAGGCACATTTTAGTTGTGGGGAGAATGTTATATTTGAATTCTGCAGTATATTTGCACACGTGCTTATGATTTTATTAACTACCTTATCAGCCACACTTAAATCTTGAACTTCCTGTGTTACTTCCAAACACAGCTACTTAAGGGGAAGTTTTATTTCTATAAAGCATTTCATGCTAAATGGTGCTTAGTGATGTAGAATGAAACTCTGTGTATGATTTAGAGGCAGATCCAGGGCAAGTACTGCTGAAAACCTGCTTATCCATTTTGATTATTACTGGGACCTGAGGACACTTTTTCCTTCTCAGTAACTTGGTTCTAAGTCAAGCAAATATGTGTAATTCACAGCTGAGTGCCACTGGGAATGCTCACCTTTTTTTCCTCAGTTAGGAATGACAAAAGATACCCAGCAGAATCTGCTGTCTGGTCTATGTGAGGAGAATTGTAAGAATGTCAGGTGCAGAATAGTAGAATCTGCCGTCGGGTCTATGTGAGGAGAATAGAATGTGTAAGAATGTCAGGTGCAGAATAGTATTTTATAAGTTTAAAAAGATATCATTAAATGCTTTTGAGTTAATTTTTATGAGAAAGGAAAGTTGAGATTTCACAGTTTCAAGAAAAACAATTTAAGAGTGTGTGAGATTGCTTGAAAGATGAAGTAATGATTTAGTAATTTTCTGCAATAAAATTTCCCCATAATTTTTGTACCCCCTTTTCTTTTTAAATTATGCTATTGGTTAATGTCCTTTTTGTCAAATAATTAGATTTGATTTGCTTTTAAAAAAGAATGTGAAAAATTCCATTAGAAGTGCTTTGCTTGAGAGTTTGGTTTGGATTTTCTTATTAACTGATATATTTGAATTCTAGAAAAAGAAGTCTCATACGTGTGGGGAGAAACTCTCATTTTATTTTCTGGGTTGTACAAACCCAGAACAGTTTACAGTTTGGCAGCCTGGAGGAAAAGAGGATAAATAGTCAAGTTTGTGCAATAGAGAAGAATGCCTCACTGTGATGGGTAAGTTGAAGTGCAATATGCGTGGTACAAAACTGCTGTTTAATATGAGAATCATGGGATCTATAAAATAGAGATGATTGCCAGCCAGGGGGCTGGATGCAAGGACGACTCATTCCCAAAGCTGTAGTTAGCAAGTTGCCTGGCAGTGGAAGGAAAAAGGAAAAAGTACTTTTCTCCTATGTTGAAGCCCAAAGAAAAATCATGCCAAAGAACTGCTTGAGACTATGCCTTTTTTATTATTTGGTTAACCTGTTTTGAATATTGTGAGTTGGCATGAGGACTTTCTGGCTGAGTTAAAGAGTACAACCCAGGCATTTCTGCCAACTACAGTGTGCATTGACTGGGTGGAAATTTTCATCTATCATTTGCAGCTTACTGTACTGGTTTCATAAAATCAGTGGGCTAATAAGTTTCTGAGAGCATGAAAATCTTTTGTTAAAACTTGCTTTGTTTTCTTCAGCACCAGCACAGCTTAGTCCTAAAGCTGAACTTTTGGATATTATACTCTTATGTGATATTAATTGCACTTAAGGCAAAAGTCTTCCCATATTTCCACAGCACCTAATACACTGAGGCCATCAAGCCTCCCTACTCAGGAGTTGTTTATAGAAAATTAATAAATATTAAGTGTCAATTATGATACTATCATGCAAGATATAAATTTATGAGGAAGGATGACGGACTCTCTCTACTAAAATATAACATGTAAAAAGTATTTCTAAATTTGTTTGTTAAATAATAATTCCATTTTCATATTTGGGCATTCAGTAAGAAAAGTAATAAGCTACAACACCACTGGGTGTTTCATACAGTGCCATCCTTGTATGGATTATGTCCATGCATAAAATGATAAATTTCTACCTTGCCATATATAAAAATAGCGTAGAATCCAAAAAATAGGTGTGTATGCTGTCTAAGAAAAATATCTTACACTGGAGTTAGTGGTGTTATAATGGGATGACTTTTTCTGCATTAATCAGTGATTTTTGTCAGAGTAAAAAGTGATACTTTTGGAATTCCAAGCTCACTTAAGCAAGGAACTTAAAAATTGCTTTGTGTCTGTTATGCAGGACATGATACCCTTGCTGATGTTCCTTTCAGACAATCCCAGAGCTGCTTTTCCAGGCAGACAGCGGTGCTCTACAAGGATGTGCTGGGCAGAGCAGCTCACCGTTCTCCGGTGAATCCGGGCAGGCACACGCATCTCAACTCCCCGCCGAGATCGGTGCAGTTGCCGAAATTGTAACACGTCAGATTTCGCTCTTCGTTCCCACAAACTGTGTATGGTAATCTTCTGTATCTGGATAAACAGCAAGGCACAGCAGTGGTTAGTAACATTTTTCTTGTTCATTTCTGAAAGTCTCATGCTCTCTCAGCTTTTCATTTAACACTGGTCCATTATTTTAGTGGTAAATATTTAACCTTTCTACCTTGCAAAATTAGAGTGGGCATCTAGACTGGGAATACAGCGAGCAGTGCTCCTGCTGCCAAGCACTGCCCATGCAGGCAGTGAGAGCATCACGTTTTGCCTGTAAATGAATGCACAGTTTCAGAAGCTGCCCGGGGATGCAGCACGTACCTCATGTCTCTCCTTGGTTCCCCCTGGGAGGGAAGCCCTACACCAGGGTCCATCTGGACAACATATACAGCATTGGATACGTGCTTGCATGCTGGCTGCCTAATGAAGGAAAGGCAGCAAATGAAGAGGAAGAGCACTGGAGACATTCACTGGTGTGTTGCCCCAAAGAGAGAAAGCAGGAGATGAAGTTTAAGACCCAGAGAGAGAACCTGAATTGATATGTTTTGTTTAATTTATTTAATTTGTTGAATTTGGTTTTGCTTTTCCAAGCATTTACTGGTGATTTAATGATTCATTTCTGAGCAAAACCCACGGGGACAACCCTGAGGCTAGATTAGTGGTCATAGATCAGTAAGATGCATGGACAGCTCAAGAGCTCAAAAGAGAGAATTAGAGTGCAAGCTAGACCATGTTGATCTCATCATATAAGGTATTGTCAAACCACAGGATGTCCTGACTACTGTCAACGCTCAACAAAAATCAACAAATGACAACAGCTGAACTTCAACAATAAATATCCAATTCAACAGTAATATATCCCGTATGTCCTCCCAAAGCTCTGCTAACAGCCTGTTTTGTTGTTCCCAAAGTGGCTCCTCTTTCTACTCCTCTCCTTCAAGATGAGGTTGTTGAAAAAGGATCTGTTGGAAAGGCAGTGTTCACAAGGTATTTGAGTGGTTGCTGTCTGCAAGAATAGCCTATGCAGCAAAGACAAGATTTTCTGCTTGCACCCTGTAGGATGCAGTAGGCTGGGTTGGCTGGAGTCCTTTGGAAAAAGGGGTAGGATTTTGGTTTCTCTGAGAGCAATAGGACATGCTCCAAAAGGAGAAGTTTATGGAGTGCAGAGAAGGGCAGGCAATGGACAGAGAAAGAAGGAAAGAGCTGAAGCCTTAGTAGTCGAGTCCCTGAGAAGAACAGGAAGCAGCCACATGAGGATGCCTCAGAGGTGATGGGTGGACTGGGTGGTGTCTGCAACCTCTAGGAACTGCTGAGCTGGGAGAGCAAGCCTGAAGGAAGAGACTTACCTAGGAAGGATGTTGCGAGTAGGGGAAATACTTCTTTACAGACTCTCTTGCTATGTATTGCTATTTTATCTTACCAATCAAGTCTGAATTTCTCTTCTAGAGTATATTCTAACAAAATCTAGCTTTAGAGATTCAAGACCTTTATAAAGATCCAGCAGGTCTACCTCAGGACTTTGGCTGACTTGTAGTCGAGTCACTGTAGAGCTTGTATGAACCAGGCTGACAGAAGAGTTTTGCGTGTCCCCACTGTCTTCTTGCATTGACTCATCGGTCTCTTTCTGGGCTAGTCACTCTCTGTTGTCTCTGCTCATATCTAATAGGTTTTCGTACTACGAATGCTTTATAATGTCCCCGTTGTCTTCTTGCATTGACTCATCAGTCTCTTTCTGGGCTAGTGACTCTCTGCTGTCTCTGCTCATATCTATTAGGTTTTCGTACTACGAATGCTTTATAAATTATTTCTACAGCCACAATTAATGTATAAATAGGTGCATACTTGTAATTTGGGGGGCAGAGAAAACAGCAAAACAATAGATAGCTGAGGTGGTCTCATGACAGGTTTCACCATAACAGGTGAAATAGATTTCTACAGTTGTTTAGAAAATGAACATAATGTGTGTTTGGCAGTGTGTTGCGTGTTTTTACTTCAGTCATCACTGTCTACAACTATTCCCATTTCAAGAAAATCTATATACAGGCCTGTAGTGCCCAGTTAAAATGGAGGTATCAATGGTGTGTTAATCTCTCAGAAGTGACCTGACAGAAACATATGGACCTGCCTTGTTCGTAGTACCTGCAATGTTTTCCAGTGAAGTTACCAGCACACAGGCAAGAATATCCATTAATCCCATCTATGCAAGTGGCCCCATTTGCACACTGGTGGCCATGGCAGTTGTCTATGTCCTCTTCGCAGTTTACCCCTGTGTAACCAGGTTCACAGCTGCACTCGTAGGAGGTGATCCTGTCAGTGCAGTTCCCATGAACACAGGGGTTTGAAAAGCACTCATCAATGTTGGTTTCACAGTGCATGCCAGTCCATCCTTGGGGACATATGCAACGGTAGGAAGTATACAAGTCTTCACATATGCCGTCATGCATACAGGGCCCTGAGCTGCAGGCATCCAACTGCAAGCAGCCAGTAACAGCAGGGTTTGCAGATATTTTGAGAAATTGTTCCTCTTGAGGCTTTTTAGTGTGGACATCAGCATTTTCCAAGTATGAGAGATAAATGCCACTGATTTCTATGGTGCTCATACATCCTCGCAGGCCGTCCAGATTGTCAAAAGCCTTGTCCGCCACATAAATGTCTATTTCTTCTCTTAAAAAGTTGAGGTTTCCAGTGGCAGTTGTACTGGTTGCAGTGTCTCTCTTATTATCTATATCCATGTGCCATCGAGAGGCCTGGGACTGGGGTTCTGCCATAGAGACTGTCACTTGGTGCCACTTCCCATCACTCACACCTTGTGAGCTAGCAAGGGTCAACTTATAAAAGCTGTTGCCGCTTTGCAATTGGAAGAGTAACTTGGAGTTCTGAATGCTAACGGTGACAGACTCGGGCTCCTTCTCCGCGTACAGCAGTATCACGTCAGTATCCCTAGTTCGAAAGCCAAACACGATACTCGTGAGATCTCTGCTGATTTTTCCATTGCTTCTGTAAAATATAGCACTGCTTCGGCCACTAAACACTGCATTAGCAAGACCTGTGCAAAGATAATAATTGAGAAACCAGGCCAACTTTAAACCAATACATGTAGAGCAATATTTCTTCAGTGCCCCATGTTCCCTGTCCTTTTCTTTATGCTGAAAACATTTAAATTCTAACCCTGTTCCACTTACTTTCCTACTTTTCGTGGCTCTAAAAATTACAGACCAGGACCAGTACCAAATATGCTGAAGCCAACAGAGCTGTGCTGCTTTGCATTATCTGAAGTTGTAACTCTATATTCCTTTCTAAACTGAAGGGGGGAGTGTGACGTAGAGTATGTCCTTACTACATTTTTGCAAATCAGAAGCATCTCTACTGAAGTCAATGACTTCATGCAAGTATGTAATTGCAGGGAAGTCCTGAACCTCCCACCTCATCATGATGAGAGCCTATCATGAACACTTAGCAAAGAAACAGTAAAATACCAAGTCTATCAAAGACCATTGGTTCTATACTGACTTATCTGAATGCCTGATGAGGATTGATGGCTTTCTAAAGATTTCTGGCTATAGCCTAATCTGACTGATGTAACTGTACAGACAAACATTATTGTAAATGGTATTCTGGCAAGATATTAAATGAATATATTAATTAAATCACCATATTAAGAACCACAAAGACTTTTTAACTATGAGTTATTTATTCTCAATGTAATACTTACCTACATTAGCAGTTCTTGTATTCAAGTTTCTAAACTAGGAAGAAATAGATATGATTTGTCTGTTCTTCTGTGCTTCATTACTGTTACCTCTTTCTCTCCTTTATCCAGATTCGCCCATTCCAAGATTTATGAGAATTATTGATGGAGGGGAGAACAGGAAGGAATGTCTTATATCCATACTTCAGACTAATTTGGTTTGCAAGACCTTAGCATTAAGATAAAGTGGGTTTCTGCACTATCTCTGGGCATCATGAGTTATTACATTGCCCAGCTGGAGTTCATGCTTTCCAAAAAGGGCTTGCTAATTATAACTATGTAGGTAGAACTATACCCAGACCTCCTGGAAAACAGCTCCTTTTCTGGCTTAGCTTAAACCGGTTTCCAGCATATAACACACCAAGCTGGTAAAGAGCTTGCTGGCCAGTATAGCTCCTTCTGACCATGCTCTGTTGGACATATGTTGTTGTCATCATTCACCCACACTCCTGCTCTGCCCACGCATGCCTCAAGATGTTGGCAAAACGTACAAATATAGACCTGGAATTAGACTTTAATGGTCCACAAGGCGAGCTCTTACATTTCATTATATGTGGTGAGCAGAGCCTAACACCTGGAGCTCAGCTCAGGTTACTGCCAGGACAAATGGTACAGTAACTGCTAAAAGTAATCTGATTTAACCCAAATGGCCAGGGGCTAGGGAAATCAGGGGGAAGTTTATCTACAGAGAAGTCTATATTGTGGCTCTGAAAAATGAGTTAAAAGTTGAGCTCTGTAGGCCTGCTAACATTGTAAATGGTCTTGATTTTATTAAAAGGAAGCAGTTCAAATACTTTTCTCTGTATGATAGTTTATGTTCTTTACTATGAAATAGTAAAATTTATAAGAGAATATATTTTGATGTTAACATTTAAAGACATGCCGATTAGAAAAAGTTAGTCTCAGTTATAAAATTTAAGAAGCGCTGCAGTACTCATTCCAACAATGTCAGCAAAGAAAGCACCATGTAGGTCTGCCTGCGGATTGCCTATGCTAGAAATCTTTTGTTGACCATTTTTCTCATTCCTAACAGTCAGATATTCTAACAGCTTCCGTCAGACTTCTTGTGACTTCTTCACAGCACCATTAGGGCTTTCTTTGATAGAGAAAAAAAAAAAAAAAAAAAAACACCCCTCAAAAATCCTTAAATCCTTACTTGCTTTATAAATTCCACTTCAGTTCAGGGAGGGATAAAGAAGAAAGAAAGAGAAGGAAAGGGATATGCAGGATGGCTATTCTTAAGATAGCTAATGGCCATCAATTTTCAAACTAATACTGTTTGGTGTGCAGGTGCTTTTTATGAAGATACCAGTTTAATAACTGTACTGCCTAAGGCTTCCTGAAAATACGTTTAACATTTAGGAAAATGGAATGATGCAGTGTAGCTTGCCTTTTCAGAAGGAGGGCGAACACATTAGGCTTAATCCAAGACTGAATTTCCTCTTATCCTTTGCAGTGGAATTATGTGGGGTACAGTGGCACTCTGGGAGGGTCGTGATCTACTGCACAACCTTGAAAAGTTGTACTGAGTAAATCAAGGGTAAAGGTCCTGTAAACTTCAGTGTGCGAGTCAGGGTGTCTGGCTGAAAATTTATTTTCTGCCTTTAATAGGGTATGTTATTTCCATTAATATTATTTACAGTGCTAATGTTCATTATTATAATATAGAAATAGGATCCGATAGAGCTTTAAAATCTTGCCCAAAGGTGACAGGAATAACTGGAATGTACCTACATTCAAATCCATGGCGCACCGGCTGGCATTGTGCTTCGTGAGGACAGGGCCCGAGCTCACACCACTTAACTTCCTCGCACGCCTTCCCTGCCGTGTTAGGGGGGCATGTGCAGGTGAAGTCATCCCAGATGGAATAGCATATGCCACCATTGTGGCAAGGGTTGGACTACAAGGAAAGAGAACACACGAGCTAAGTACAAGTAAATGTTGGTGGAGTCCCACCATGAACATGTGGGACTGCTTGGCAAAAATGATAAAGTGCCAGCACTAAGGCTGCCTAGGATGTTTACTTACTGCTGAGCATCAGGGTTTCACCCTTACAGTATTTTCTTTTTCCTTTACATCAATATATATTTTTTGATACTCATCTTTTGTAGCACAATTTAACAAAATCTGCTCTTTTTAGCATTTTTGTGTATTGTCTTAAGATGTCATTATCATCATATATTTTATGGAGAAAAACAAAAAAAAGAATCCCCCAAACTCTGTAAGTCCCCATTACAAACATGTGAAAATGCTCTGAAAAATTGATTTCTTACCTTACAGAGGTTATCACCAGCACAGCCTTCGGTGACATTGATCAGAGTTCGGTTCATAAGAGAATCCAGTGGATGGGCGACAGGGAAGAATTCCAGAGGTTGGTTATTCAGTCTTACATCTTGGATACAGCCCTTGAAATTTGTATCAGATTCTCCAATATCTGGTAGGCCTCCAATATAAAGAATATCTTTACTTTGGATGGTTAGTACTGGAGTCGAAATAAAGCCTAGGTATTGGGAGGACTGGAATAATTCCATCTTATTTGGTTCTATTTTTAATGATATTAAGTAAAAGTTTCCGTCATTCACAGTGTGTTTCCCTAATAACTTCCTGGAGTTTGGAGCTAACACTGTGAGTTTCCCACCTTCCAAGTAGACTCTTATGTAGAGACAGCTACTGTTTCTCAAAGCCAGTAATAAGCCAGAAGATTTGCGTGTTCGGACAAACATGGATATATTCACATTTTCCTTCTGAGTGGCATCAACAGAAAATGCAGCATATCCTGAGGAGTCTTCAGATCCAAACCGTCCTGGAATATACTCTTGGGGTGAGCAACGGGGCGGGGGAAGAAAGAAAAGGGAAAATTAAAATATTTAGAGCTAAGTGACAAGGGAGTCAATGCAGTGATCTAATAGCTACTTCTGGCATTAAATAGTTACTTCTGATAGTGAGATATGCTGGTATTTACAGATGAATAAAGATTTGATTCAGCTGAAAATAGCTTCCAAATTCCTGTTAGTGTCCATGGCTGTAGCATTAGACTGTAGTACCAGATGTTTTATTATTTGGCATATTTTTCCCCTTTATCATTCTCTATGTAATTCTGGGTTTTCAAATGGTTAAGCAAGCCCAGATTTACACAGTTTCCTGGACTGCTCATCAGAAAGATAATTTTGAAAAGATACTAGCTGCTATGATCCTCTGATGATCATGGAAGCTAATATAATCCCAGCATGTTTTTTTGTGTTGTTTTCAATCATACGAATAGTCTAAAAAGTGCTCTGTAAAACCCTCTTGTGTTAAACCTCCAAACTCTGCACCCATCTTGTACTGCATAGGCACTATGTTTCTTCAACAGATTTTCTGTTTCTGGGACTCCACATGTGCTAATATATGTCAACTTTTGCCCACTTATGAATCCTGTGCATTCCTGTGTGTGCCCATAATGCTATCGCGTCATGGGGGAAAAATGATCCAGAATCCAGTAAGCCTTTTTGTTTTTATCAATTAAAATGATTAAACCAAAAACATCTGTGCCTCTCCCTTACTCTTTATTTTCAGTAATGATTTTCAGACTTGCAAGGATACAAAATATGTAGTCCAAACCATATTTTGTTCTGATGAATCATCTCATTAAGGCACAACAAAGTGTTTCTATTCTTGCATTTTCAGTTTTGTGATCTTGTCCTCAATATTGTAGACTTCCTGCCTAAACACTTTCAAGGACTATTTTTTCATATATCAGATTCATAGAAAGAATAGACTGAGTTTTAAAAAAAGAAACGCACACATAGCTAAACAGTTGGAGTTTCCTTTTGTGCAATGAAACTCCTGGAACGGGATCTCACAGTCAGGTTTCTACTCATAGCGCTACTTTTTTTGTTTTCTTGGTTTTTTTTAAGACTATGTAATCATTTAAATGAAAATAGGAGACTGATTCTGAAGCAATTTTATAAACAAAGTTTGAAATACTTTAATTCTATAAATAAGATTTCTTTATTGACCTGCTTGATTTATTGATGTGATCTGGTGTGTAGAAATAAATATTTACCGAAATGAGTATTTTGGACATGAAACCTCTTTGTTACACCTATTTTGTACTTCAGGCAAGTATTTTTCATGTGGTTAAAAAGAACTTTTCTGCTTGGTTTACGATTATAGTTTTGCATTCCTAGAAGGAATTTGTCTTAAAAGTATTTTACATTTACAATTCCTTTTTAAATTTCTTTGCATATACTTATGTATATAAATCATCAATCTGGACTTGTTTTTGATGAGATGGCTAGCATCACCTTAGTCAATATTAACCTCTTGGGTCACAGCATCTGGATGTTGATCAAAATGAGTCAACATCTGTTTGTTATTTTGTGTATGTAGAGAAAATATTGCCTCTTTGTCAATTAAATATTTGGCAGCAACTTTTCTTCAGAAAGACACTAGCATTTCTTATGTTATCCTTTACCACAAGTCTCCCCCACTCTGCCTTTTAAGAAACCTGCCACAGTCTTTTAAATATGGCATATATCTAGAATCTATGTATCAAAATGGCATGGTGCCATGGGACCATGGCATGGAATATTGCCAGCAAAAAAGGCTTGCTTTCTAATCATTCTCAACAGCCCTAATGCCAGTATAAACCTCTCCTGGCCCTGACTGGTTTTAATTTCACATCATATAAGGAGGCAAACATATTTACCAGATGTTGTCCTATACTCCAAAGTTGCTCTCCAAACAGTCAGATAAATTACAGCTGAACTTCAAAGAAATCTGTTAAAATTACCTCTCAGACTTTGTCATTTTGCAATTAAAAAAAAAAAAGTATGTATTGATAACTATTAAGTATAGCATACAAAATGAAATTGTATTTAAACAGTTTGAAATGTACTTTGAGCTGCAGCTTTCTGCAGTTATCCATCCAATAAGCCCCTGGGGCCAGTCATTCAGTTGATGTAAATCAATGTAGCTTCACTGGCTTCACTGCAGCCATGCCAATTTACACCAGTTTAGAATCTGTCCATTCTAATTTGACCACGGTACTGCCATTGCACTTCGTTTTTTTCCAATCCACTTTGCAAGTGT